CTGTCGTAATTTTATTATCTGTTTGTAGATACATGCAATAAATTATGGTCATTATTAGTAATGTGTTTTTTTATTTAACCTTATTCTACTCAACTACTGGAATTATTGGTTAACCTCTTTAGCTCACCAAAAGTGTCACCACCACCAAATCTGCTACCTAATTTAGAAACCTCAATTTTAGCCACAAAGATCACATGCCATAATCAACATGAATTGAAAGTTCAATTACTAATTTGTACTTTTTCTTGTACTACAAGTTGTACATTTTCTATATCTAGTTAGAGCTACATTTTCTAAAGAAACTAATATATATTGCATAATAAAACAAACTTTGGAATAATTTTGTTTATTTAAGTATTATTCAAGGAGCTGGCCTGCCACGTCCATAGCCACCTCTCTGTAACAATTGAAAATTATGATTTAAATAAATTGCAGATGAATCCATTGAGCCATAAAAACATACAAATTCACCAGCCACCTATGACACAGTGTGGAGATGTTACATTATAAAGAATCTTATCTATTCTAGAACTTTAGTTAGACCATTTATGGTCTCAAAAATGAGATTTGATAACATCATTCTTGTTTTTCATATAAAGCATTGTAACTACAATAACTAAGGCATATATAAAAATACTCACGAATTCCAAATCAGCAGATCCAGGGCCAACATCAGCCTTCTTATCATGAGGTGCACCAGGTGTAGTGGGTGCACGGCGATATGCAGACCTGTCCTCTGGTGTACGTGTTGGTGCATCTGTCCTGCCCACTGCACCACGGCGTACTGTCTCTGTTCGCACTGACCGCTTAAGGGTGGCTGGTACAATTTCAGGGGGCAAGTGGAGGAATATTCTTAGGTACTCAATACCCTCATTGGTTAGGTACCTGTAAATATTTAAATTACATCTTATTAAAATCATGAAATAAAAATTAACACACAACATATTTTGTAATCTTGTATATAAGTTAAATAACTTAATTGTAAACCTAATATTTCTTGAAGAAGTATTTAAAAATGTAAAAATAAACAATTTACTAATCCATATAAGCTCCTATTCAGGTACATTTAATTGAATAGTTGCATGAACCATGTTTATCATTGGACTAAATTATTAATATTTTGTTAGCACAATTGTAATTAGTAACAAATATAATAAAAATGATACTGAATAATTTTAAGGTGAAGTGAAGATTATTGTCAATCAAACAACAAATATTCCATAAGAAGAATTCTGTAATTCACTGAAAAAATTACTTTATCACTTAAATTCATAAAAACTCTTGTTTACCAATGGTAATTTCCTAA